GCAGAAGTCTTCAGAGCCATGTTGGTCTGCTGAGGGGAGAGGTGCACATTTGCTAATTCTCTTCTGCTGGATATGAGCTACTGACTCTAGTCTTAGATTTAGGATAACGTAGATCACAGCATTATTTTTACTGATCAGATTACATATGGAGATTAGCTAAAAACGAGGGTATGCAGCAATGTACTTTTTGGATGTTATTTTTGCTCTTAGTAATAATAAAACAGCTAACTTCTTTTCTGGAGTGTTTGCAATGTGCCAGACACTGTTTTAAGCACTTTAAATGGATTACGTCATTTAATCCTCCGAACAACCTTAGGAAACGGACACTATCCCCGTTTAATACCCGAAGAAGCTGGTGCAAAGCGCAGCGCTGTCACTTGTAGCAGATTCTCTAGGTAGGAAGTAAAATGTGAGCCAAAGAAAGCGCAAAGTGGGGACCCTACTCTTAAGCAATGCTGTGCTCCGCCCGTGTGGAATTTAAGAAATCAGAGCAAGTCCAAGCCCTTTCCTTTGTTAACCGAGTAGAGATTCCCAGGATCGCTTTCCTTCATGAGCAAAAGGTGACGTCCTGATAGGCTCCAGTCTCTGAAGCGGAGGTCGACCCTTGCTTTTCTCTTTAAGTTTGAGCTACCTTCCTGCCAGGACCTTCAAGTCTATAAGGCATATATTAGTAGCTCTTTTACGTATCCTTTTTTATTCCCAAATCCAAAACACTGATTAAACACACTTTTTTTAGGAGACAGGAAGAGAGGGAAGGCACGCGAGCCGCCGACTGAGAAGGCCCAGGCAGGATGGCTGCTGCTGTCTGTGTGACAGCCCGTTGCTCCCACTCCCCAGCCTTTCCTACGCCAGGCACAGCCCCTGTGTCACCTCCGGTTCTTCCTACATTCTCTAAGCAATGCCTTCTTCTCATGTTAGGGAACAGAAAAGTTAGATCAGAGTGGCGGGTGGGAGGCAGAGTGCAGAGCGGGAATTCGAAGCCTGCCCTGCCTGTCAGTGGTTTTAATATTGCTTTTGTTTAAAACAAACAACCCTCGAGACCCTTTCTTCAAAGAGCTTGTACTTGGATCTCAGAAAGTGAGGAGTCAACATGGGGGGGTCTGGAGGCCACCTGCTTCATTTCACCCCAAACTTCTACCCGGTGCCCAGGCCCTGTGGGCACCACAGGGAACCCCTGGGAACCTGCAGAGCGTGTGCTGACACCACTCTTACGTCTTTGTATGTTGACCAGTTGATGAACTCACTCCTCTAGGGACAAATGCAAGACCTAGGCCTTCTTACCTTTTCTGACAAGATAGAACACAGACCCTGGCGTCTTATCCTCCCTCCCCCTCCATGGGTTTGAGTTCTCCGTTTTTCCTCCATGATGCTGGGCAAATAACTCATCCTCTCGTCGGCTTCATTCCTTTAAAACGGGCAAGTCCAGTTCTCACAAATATTAATCAGTCAAATTAAAGAAGAAAAAAAAAAGACAACTCATTCTTGAAAAGGTGAAAATGTAAAATTTAGAAACATAACTAGAACCATGAGGAGACTGTTTACCAACAAGTTCAGTGATTATTTCGGATCTGGAACTTGGTTTTCTTTTTTTGTAGTGATAAGAATAGTGCAGTACTAGGAAAAATTCTGGAAAAAGCAGTCAATTTTACTTTTAAATGAGAATCTGGTGTTTCTGTATTTTATTGTTTCATAAGTGTTTTGGGGGAAAAAATGGGCAGAGTTATTATGATGGTTAAATAAGCATTACAATGAAAAACAAATACCCTCAGCCTAGTGTCTTTCAGCACGTCAGTTTATTGCTATTATTAGGAATGCCTCATCCCCGTTCCATATTTCCAAAAAGAGAGATCATTGCCAAATCCCCCTGGCCTCTTATACTCTCAGGGCCTCGTTCTCTACTTGATTCGTTATTTGGGAAGAAGAAACTTCCTTTAATCCTCTTGGAAAGGAACGTGCTTTCGGTCTTACCTCAACGGGTGTGCTAATCTGAGGGTCCAGGAGCTGTCTGCTGGTTCGCACGCTGAGCCTCGTTCTCCGTAATTACTAATAAATGTGTGACTTTTTCTTCTTCTCTCTTATTGCTCAACTCATTTAGACACCGAGCAGGAAAGATGTATGCTGTGTACTCAACATCCTTACTATTCTGTAATTAGCATTTGCTGTCTTCCTCTCCCAATCTCAGAGAGTCAGAATTCTAGAGTTGAAGTCGCTGAAGTTTATTTCACCATCTCGTATGTGGGCCTGGCGCCAGCTGGTCCTTCAGCCCTTGACTGCACACTTCTGGTAATGAGGAGCCTACTTTCTAAAGAGGCCGGTCGCCCGGGGGAATGCTCTAGCTGGGGCTGGAATTGCCCAAGGATGGTCTGAGTCCGGGATGTTGAGCTTTCAGGCCTATCTGTATTCGTTGTAAATGTTCAGATTAGGTTTTTTGGGGGAGAGGGTGTTGGCCTGCAGACTGCTCTCTTTCAGGTAGGTCTTTTAGAAAATTCATTTTCCAACCATTAGTTAGACTTGGCTGAGGGAGAAAACCAGTGTTCTGTGTGTCTTTGACATCTCATCCTGAGAAATCCCCACCACCTCGGTGTGTCTGCTGCATCCTGAGCAGATTCCAGCTGTGGTTTGTCTTACATGGTGCAGGAGGCTGATCCCCAAAGCCTTTGGTTTACCTCCTGGCTTCATGCTCCGGGGAGGCGGTGGGGGGGTGATGCAGAGCTGTGACTCCCAGAAGTTCACCCGCTGCACGCTGAGGGTGGTGTGGACTCTGGTGGCAGAAACTAAAACTGCCCATGAAATTCTACGTCCAGTGCCAAAGATGCTAAGTGACCGCTTGGAAACGCTCGCCCCAAATAATGCTTGCCAAATGCAGACAGACTGAATTGGGATCTGCTCATTTCTGCGATTTGTGCTTCACTTTAAGGCAACCCATAATGGGAGCCAGCAAATGTGAAGAAACCAAGCACCTTAATAACCTTTAAAAAAAAATAACAGCGTTATTGAGATATAATTCACATTCCCCCAAATTCACCTTTTTGAAGTGTTCGATCCAGCGGTTTTCAGTATAATCGTAGATTTGCGAAGCCATCGCCACAGTCAATTTTAGAATATTTTCATCACCCAGAAAAGAAATGCTGTACCCATGAGCCCTCACTCCCCGTTCCGCCGCCCCTCACCTTTGCAAACCCCTGTGGATTTGCCTATTCTGGACATCTCATAGAATGGGCTCCTACAATGTGTGTCCTGTTTGTCTGGGTCCTCTCACTTAGTATAATATAATGTTTTCAAGGTATATCCATGTTGTAGCATGTATCAGTTCTTCCTTCCTTTTAATGGCCTAGTAATATTCCACTGAATGAGCACGCCACGTTTTGTTGGTCCATTCCTCGGCTGAGCAATTCAGGTTGTCTCCACCGCTTGGCTATTATGACTACTGTTTCTATGAATATTTATGGACAGATTTTTGTGTGGACGTATGTTTTTAGTTCTCTTGGGTATATATGCAAGAGTGGAATTCCTAGGTCCTAATCCCTTAATAACCTTTCAAAATTGTTTTTTTTAATTTGCGATTCTTGGGGCCCACATTCCTATTCTTTCGATCTATTTTCACTTCCTCTGTGCCGAATGCTGTCTCTGACTTGATATGAAGTTAACACATCTGGGATCCAGTTTTAAGTTCTTGGTAGAAATAACTAAAAATTGCTCAAGTGAGAATAAACTGAATCACAAGAATGCTTATTATTTGCCTTTGTTCTCTTCTTTACCCCGCTTCTTCTACTTGAAAATTGACGAAGTTTTCTTTTTTTTTTCTTTTTCAGAATCGCAGTGAAATAAAAAATGGCACTATCCTTCGATTAACCATATCTCCAGTAAGTTGACCTTAGTCTGTAGCTTCCTAGGAAACGCTTTGACCTCCAGTTCTATATGTGATTACGGATATTAAGTTTTGAAGATGACTTCAGTGCAAAACGGAAGGTCTCCGGAGTGTCCTCCCATGAGGGTTCCGGATGGTCACGAATGCCCCTTCTTGTATTCCCCAGCACAGAGGAGGCGGCCTTTGTTCCAGGTTAAGTGCAAGTAAGGTGACGTTAAGATTTTACCTTGGTGGTCATCTCAACAGTTCTCATGTCGCAGATGGGACAGCTCAGCTATACCGATTGCTTTTACCCACCTGCCCACACACCCACCTTATGCTATCAGAGCAAATTCACACATCAAAGCAAGCAAAACCAAGGATAGCCTATGACTTCCCTTTAAAGTCAGGGAGTGTGTGGAGTGCATGTGTGTGTCTGTCTGTGTGTGTCTAGTTTTGGTCAGTTATTATAACAGTTCATAAAAATATAGTTTAAGAAATGTTTGCCACTTCTGCTGTTTCACTGACAGCTAATTCTAGATAAAAAACACTTTAAAGTCTTCCAAATAAAAACTGCTAAGCAAAATGCTGTCGAAAATTTAAACTGCTCTCGCTGACTATGTTGCTTATATTTATCTTTCTTACTTGTAGGTACTTTAGGTAGTACCATTAACATATTTAAATGATATTATATCACAGCGCATTTTATTGCTTTCCTAAAAAAAAATCTGCACAAAATACACCAAGTGTCACTATTTTCACTCTGCATATGTGATGAAAACTATGTCTAACTCTCATTTTCAGTTTCTACTGAAGCCATGTGGTAGGCTAAAAATAAATTTAAAAATTGGGAAAAGCATCTGGCTAAGATTAAATTGTGGGTTCTGTGACGGCCACAAATTCTTCTTGTTGAAAATTATATTAGAGAGGCTTAAAAACTCCTAAACATTTTACCCAATATCATCTTGAACCTAAACACAGTGATGAGCTCAGGAGAATGCGTTGCTGGGATTGACCTTCTTTTCCACTTAATGGTAATTATAATTCATACTCATTTTTCAATGGCTGCATGATGAGCTGAGACATTTTTGTCTGACTTAGCACCAATCTCCTTACTTTAGTCAGCAAGAATGAATGTTAATTTGACCTTCAGAGACCATGATTTCACTTGGTTTTTGTAGGTCCTATTTATCCTGCTAAAATTACTCATCTGCTTGCTGGGCAGAAAGAGCACGCCTCGCCCTTTGCTGCGTTGTAGAATTAGAAAGGCTCAGTTTGGTTTGGTTTTGCTTTTAAATCTAGGCCTTCTCTCAGCCAAAGAAGAAGTCAGTTCTCTTTTCTATTGCCATGGGTTCATGAACAAACTTTCCACAGTGCTACGCCACTCCTTGAGAGAAGGCTCGGTGTCTGGCAGAGTGAAATTTTTCCCGGGAAGTGAACATTCTAACACTGTGGCATGACTTGGCACCTTCAGGGACAATGGAGTTTGTCCTATCTAGGTAGTGACCTTCACATTCCCAGCACAATGAATGGACAGGTGTGGAAGCCAGTGGACAGGCAGTATGATAAGATAGAGGCCACCTTTTACAAAAGACTGGTTGACATTTTGTAAAGAATGGCGGTCCCCAAACCTGAATCATTGGTGGAGCTTTAAAAATGCTGATGCCTGGGCCTTTAATAACAGGCTGAATTATGATCGCTAGGAGTGGGGTCCAGGAATCTGACTTTTTAAGAAAGCACTTTATGGTTTGACTGTAGCCACAGTGTCTAGAATTGGAAATTATTCTATAAGCAAGATTTTTGGATTTGTAAACCTCACTTGTTACTGGTAGATTATGTTTTATTATTTTGTGTTTAACTGAAAAAATATGGGTCAACATATGCTAACTCGTTCACTTTTTACGTACACATGAAAATATGTTTAAAAATAACTGTCACCATCGAATTTGCTAGGAAGTGTTAGAGTACCATGAAGAAACTAGCAAATGGTGTTATACTAGCTTTTACAGTCCCTTCACGCACCTCAGCTGAATTCTCTCTGTAGCCAGACAAGAACACACACCCACATGTGTGTACATGCACATGCACAAACTCTGTTTTAGGTAAGTGCAGTTGTGCCAAGTTTTATCTTCACTCTATCAAAGGTGGTGTTTTTGTTGATTTTTGTTGGTGAGTTTGTTTTCTGCCTTCCTCTATCATAAAACAACCCTTACTGGATTGTTCCTAGCAAAATAGGGTATTGATAAGAGATCTGAAAAAACAACCTGCATCATTATTCTTATAAGAGCCCTTACACTTGGTTAAATGGTCCTCTACTGTAATGCATGTCTTTAGATAATATCTCTAGTGGCCATATTAAACACGCACGACTTTCAGGTGTCATGTGTTTATCCATCTATCCAGTATCATGAAAATATAGCCATGAACATGACCAGGAAATGTGTGCAAATGTGTGTGAGTGTTTGAGCAATTCAGGGTTTGGGGAGTTTCTGATCGTACCCCTAAGGAGTATTCCCTTCTACCTGCCATGGGAATAATAGCTGTGGAAATTGAATCTGAGGTCACATGTTGCCTGAAGCATAGTTTAAATAAATTTTGGCTACTGTTCCTATTAGAGGATGCTTGGGTTGCCAGGCCATCGTTTTTACTTTCCTGAAATTTTGTTTTAGAAAGCACTTACAATGGATCTGTTTGTAGTCTTGGAGTATGGAAAACCTTTCTAAGTAGGACACAAAACCCAGAAGCCACACACACACACACACAAAATTGATAAACTTTACTACCAAAAAATAGAAACTGGCCCCCAAAAGCTTTATGCTTGGAAAGAATTCCAGAAACAAAATCAAAAACAGAAAATTAGAAAAAAAAACAGTTGGCAATATGCATGATAGAGGACTAATTCCTCAACTTGCTGGGTCCCTTATGAATAAATAAACAGATTTCCCTGAAAACATATGGCCAAATGTGTAAGCAAAAATAGTCAGTATATCTGTATATATCTCATCTCTGTTGATCTATATATCTATTTTATTTTGGCAGCAGAGCCAAGAGATAGATAGATAGATAGATTGATAGATCGATAGATAGATAGATTTTATATTATATATATATATATATATATATATATATATATAGTGACAGAGAGACAGAGAGACAGAAAGATAGCTATAGATCTGTAGATATATGGATTGATACAGATATAGGTTTATATATAGATATAGATATAGATATAGATATATAGGTATACAGAGGGTGCCAAAAAATGTATACACATTTTAAAAAAGGTAAAAACTATTAAAATTGTAATAATATATACCGATAACAAAAGATAAATGCAAGGCATGTGTGTACATTGTTTTAGCACCCCCGGTAGATATGTAGATACAGATATATATGAAAGAAGAAACTCAGTCTCTCTCTTAAAACAGATGAAAATCGCCATTCCTAGATAATCAAGTTTTGAGTCAGGATGCTGCAGTGTTGAGAGTATGAATTGATACAGACTCGTTGGAGGGCAATTTAGCTGCGTCCACCCAAGTTTAGAATACATATGTCTTTGTCCTGCTGGGAATTTATCCAATAGCTAGACTCACAAAAGCACTGCAGGACACACACACACACACACACACACGCACATACACACACACACCCCACAGGGCTGTCTGCATCATTGCTTTTAGTAATCAAAATCTGGATATCTGTTAACTGTCTGTCAGTTGGGAGCAGTTAAGTGCATTAGGTAACATCCATGTGATAGAGCACTGTGCAGCCATTAACAAGAACGTGGGCTGTGCTTGCCCGGAGATACCACTGAAGTGTATTGTTTAGTGTGAAAGCAGGCTGCAGAACACTTTGTGTAGAGTAACTCCAGGTAGGTACATGGAAAGGAGGTGTATCTATGTTGACTAAAGGATAAAAATCATTCTCCAGGGATAACATGTGACAGCTAACATTGGGTTAACTTTGTTTTTCATTTTACAACTTCTGGTAGTCCTTACGTATTTTTATACCATGTGGCTTGGATTACTTTTAATTAAACAGACATGCAAACAAATATCATAAGGTCACTATACTATACAAGAGGCTAATCATAACGTTCTATGCTAAAAACATTTTAATATTCCAAACTCTTAGATTTTTTTGTTTTCTAATATATTTTTTAAATTTTTCGATTACAGTTGATATACAGTATGATATTCATTTCACAACTGTCTAATCACTCTTTGTAAAAAAACTATTAGATTCTTAAGTGCCCTTTTATATACGAGCCGAATTCTTCTTGCCCATTTTTTTGGCCCGAGTGGACATGGTGTGTTGGACTGCTCCTCGAGTGTCCCCTGTTGCTTGGTCAGCTCTAAGCGCGATGCCCCTTTCTGCTTTCTCGTGTTTAGGGACCCGGTAGTAGAAGCATCTAGGTAAGAGGACCTGTCACGCTGATTTTCGGGGCTAGTTACTTTGGCAAAAAGAAAAATGGTGTTATTTCAGCCACTCTGTAAATTCAGGTTACCAGAGGTTCTTAGCAATAAGGCCATTAACAATTTTTGGCACCAATTTTTATCTACTGACTTGAGAAAATAAAAAAGGGTTGTAAAATGTCTGGAGTTCAATTTCTTGCCATTACTCTATAAGCTTAACTTAGAGAGAAGAAGCCAGCACAGGCTTTCAGGCAGAAGAGTGAAAAGGTCACTCTGACTGCTGCCCAAGAACAGATCACAGGGGTGACAAGGGGACAGGTTAGGAGTTTATTACAGCAGTCCTGGCAGGAGATGAAGATGGTGTGGGCTGCCTGTGGTGTCTGATGTGTAGTAGATCCAAAGGCCTGTTTTGGACAGCAAGGCCCTGGGGCTGCCTGGTGGGTTGGATATGGTGCTCCTGGAGGGAAGGTGTCACCATGTCCCTGGTGTTTGGGCAAGGGAAAATGAAGAGTTTGAGAGGCCTGCTCTGTGTCCCTGAGGACATGCCAGCCAGGCAGTTATGTATGTGTGTTGGGCGGCCGTCACCAGGCACATGGCACAG